AATCTAATAAATCTTGTTTTACCTATCCCTAAAGACAGCTTAAAACTATTTCAAATAGCAATTTTGGAGCATCTTCAGGGTTATCCAATTATTGAAAGTATTCCTTCGCTTATAAAGGATAAGCGACATGTTCATCTAAATATACAGTGTTGGCATCCACTTTTTCTAAATATGATTTAAGATCCAAATGTAGTTGATTTGTAAATTTAGTTTGAATTTCCTATTTAAGCTTGTTAATTGATTCTTTCACATAGTTTTCTATATATGCTCTGTGATTTCTGATATAGTATAGTATCTATTCATCAGTAACGGTTTAATCATTTCTTTCAAGAATTTCATTATCAAGTTTTTATATTATATTAAAACTGAATTCTGTATTCGAATTAATAAATTATGATTTAGCTTCTTCAGAATACTTTGCTTGGAATCTTAAAATTGCTTGTTTTATAATTTCATCAGCTAATTATTCTCCTCTGATTTTGCTCTACTCTTGTTTATTTTATTGGATGTCAGCCTTAAATTTTTAATATTGCAAATCCCTTTGGTCAATTAACTATTACAAAGTTTTCTAGGTTAATTTAAATTACTTATAGCATAAAACCCTCCAAATACTAAATATTACAAAATAGAAAATCTATCGTTCTCCTAAATCGCTCAAAATAACTCCAAAATTAGAAAATTACATATTTAAATCTTTAATTTTAACTTCTATTTTTTACAAAATGCTTTTTATTAAACTAAAACTATATTATTTAGCTTTCATTTCTTTGATCTAATGCAGTATCATTTAATGTATCTCATTATATATTTTTTTCCATCCTTCATAGTTTTTAAGAATCATTAACTATTGAATAAATTCAGCAACACCTAGTCTAAAATTACCTTAAAATTAAGAATATAAATTTTGATTCAAGATAAAACTTAAAATATTGACCACATCCACATCGGTATTAAATTAGGGTTCAATATTTTAATTTACTATTACTTATACCTAAGTTTATACTATAAAAAAATTATTTTCATTAAACTTTTTTCTGCTATTTTCTATTTCATTATTTTAGGTTGATTCAATAATTATTTGTTATTATTTAATATAATTTCTAAAGCGATTACATTGTCTGTTGATAATATCAATTGAGGAATCATATTGAGTCTCCCCAAAATATTACCTTTATCCAGATAGAAAGCAGGAAGATAACATATTTTAATCACATTCAGACTATCCCTCAATATAAGAAAATAAAGATTCTGCATTTTGTTCTTCGATTTTATATCCAAATATAGAGAAATTTCTTAAAAAAGTTATAAATTAAAATTTATCTAGATTGGCAGCTTAACTATAGTAGGATTGGATATCAAAATGCATATCTTTTTATTTATATTATTCAAAATCTTCTTTAATCATATATCGAATTTCTATTTTTTAAGAATAAAATTAATTGATTTATAAAACTTATGTAGATGAACATTTCATTATTTTATTTTCTATGTTTTAGTTAAAATTTTCAAAAAATATGTAATCTTTATTTAATGTTCTTTTTTCTGCGATTATAAATTGGCATCTCGATAAATCTAATTTTAATATTTCTAATGATTTTAAATAATCTTCTTATTATGGTTTTTATTTAATTAAACTTGATATCTATTATTCTATATAATTGGCTTCATTGCTTTAACCCAAAATATATTCTTTAAAATTTTCTTTAAGAACTTTCAGCAATTCATCACAATGCCCTCTAAATATTTCATCTTACTTTTATTTGCCTTATTCTATTATTGCTTTCCAAAGCTCATTAAACTTTTCTTCGATCTTACCCTCATCTTCTTTATATTTTTTTAACTCATTTTCATTTCCAAGTTACTCTAAAATAAATTATTCAATTTTAGTAAAACCCATTTTCTGTTAATAATTAGTTTCTTAAATCATCATTTCTGAGTATATTGCTAATTCAATGGCTGATTTTTCAAAATTAACTTTATCATTAACCATCATTTCATATTTTTTGAATATTCTTTTTGAAATTCTATTGTTATTTTTGAAAGCTTACAATTCTTACAATAAGTCATTTTGAATTCTAATAAAGTCATCAGTCATTTTTTAATTACATTCTTTTTATATATCATTTAAACGTTTAATTTACAAACGATTCTTATCATCTTTAATTTTTAAATGAATTAAATTGATAAAATCAAATTTTTTGGGAAACACATTATTTTTATTTATGATTTAACTATACATTTTTCTCATAGATTGATTTTGTTAATGCTAGACTAATTCTGAAAATTCAAGTAAATCAGGTAATCTTCTTATACTTAACCAAGTCGTTTCAATTTTTTCTATAAAACATCTTAAACTTTCCATTTCTAAAATACCATTTGTATTGTTATCATTCATTTACCTTTCCTTTTCAAACTTATCTACATAAGCTTGAATCATACTAATACCGTATTCATAAGCTTCTTAGGAGAATGTTCCATTTACATCTAATTGACGCCAATCTTTATATATTCCTTCATTAATATTTTTTTTCCATAGCTTTTCAGTCGATGCAAATCCTAAGATCTTAATACTCTCTTTTGTAATTCCAAAAATTTTATTATAATCTATTTATTCATTATCATGGTTGCCTAATTCTTTATTTAAATTTGTTGCTATTGACTATAATTATTCTAAAAAACGATCATGATTATTAACATCATTATTTTAATTAAAACACCATGTAATTGATTTTAAACTTGTAAAACTTCTCATTTATCCTAATGTGTAGACACACATTTCAACTAATGATCTAAATTCTCTTGTTATTTCTCCTTTTACATTAACTAGAATAATATCACTTATTGACAATACAAAAAGTGCTATTTTTTTATCAAATTCTTAATCCTCTTAACTTGGACTTTAAAGACCTTCAGTATCTAATATAATAATGTAATCAAATAAATTCTTAAAATATGCTTTGTTATGTAATTTCAAAAACTACAAATAAATTCCTTTTGTACATCTTCCAACACTGGTCCAAAAATGACATCCAAATATTTTATTTAAAATTGTTGATTTACCAGAACTTTGAGGTCCTAAAACACTCAATACTAAAATTCTTTCTTATCCTTATTCCTTAAAGTTAGATATAAGTGATTTAAGGAATTTTTAATCAATTTTTAATGTATCACCATCTAAAACTTCAAATGGTTCTCCTTTAAAAATCATTTCTTTAATTATTTTAGAAGGATCAAAATCAATTTTTGATTATTAGCAATATTCTCTTTAAGATATGACTTCTCTCCAAAAAATTTCTATTCCAATATTTCTTTTGGAAATGGTTACACAATTTTATTTTAATTTCTTAATTTTTTCATTTATCTATCTATTTAAATTTTCATATAACTATATATTACTTTGATTCCTTTCTCTTCTTAATAGTTAGATTTCTTCATTTAATTTTTAATTTTCTCTTTATAGTTAATAATTATTTTTTTCATTAAATTTCCTTATTTTATCAACCAAATGAATATATAATATATAATAATATGGTTTCTTCAATAGGTTACAAAATTTAAGTAAAACTGAAGATGGTCTCTATGAATTTTTAGAAATTTCTAAATTTTTGATTTTTTAATTAATTTAATTAAGTTTATCTTCAGATTATCTATTTTAGCAATTCGATTAAATTTTCATGTATTCTTCTTTTTCTTTTTTTATTTACCACTCAATGCTTCTTAATGGAAAAGCATTTTAACTATAAAAGCCATCTTCGTGCTACATCAACTATTCTAATTCTTATTCAAATTCTTTCAATAGAACTTGAGTCTAATTAATCTGATTAATTTGATCTTAAGCGCAGTTGTCCATTTCACAAATCAATTTAAAGTAGTCTTCTTATTTAAATATATTAGTAAGATTTTTCTAAATTAAATTGAATAAAAAAGAGGATGTTCCAGCGATTTCAGCTTTTTTCTTTTAATTATTTAATCTTGTATTTGATAAATCAATCACTTACTTATATTCAATATTTAAATATTCTAATTATGCAGTCTCTTACTCATCTAATTTTCCAGAAGAATTTCTAATTAAAAAACAAACAACTTTTTATTAATTTTTAAAAGATTCTAACTTATTTAAATTTTTTATTGTTTCTTAAATTTCTTTTTTAGTATCTAGTTAAATAATCCACAGCTTGAACATTGGTAAGATATCATCTAAAATTTTTAATGGGATAAAACCATGAGCATCTGCAACAGATAAATTTCTTGACCCATTAAATTCAAAATCATACATGATATCTATAGTTTGATGATTTAAATCATTATCATCTGATATTTCAAATTTATCTCGATTATAAAATATTTTATTAATTAAATCTGTTTTACCTATTCTTTTTTGATTCTTCGCCAAACTTAAATTAATAATCGAATAATTCTGCTCAAATACATAGAAAGTATTAATATTAAATATTAGTTTGTCTTAATCTCTGTATAATAATGGAATTGGATATTATTTACTCATAAGTTTTAGAAGCATCACTTTTAATTCATCGTCAGAGTTGTTATAAAATATTTAAAATATTAATTTTTAATTAAAAAAACCGTACTTGATTCTTAATTCTTCCTCATTTTCTAATTACTCATCAATAATTTTTAAGAATTTATTAGATGATTCTCCTCTCTTAATAAAATTAAAGAAAAATGGTATTAATTACTTAAAAGCTCCAGGATCTTTAGCATTCTAAATCCAATTCTTGACTAATTCTTCTTATTATTACTGATTTAGTAAAGTCAATGAAATATTAAAATCTTCTAATGAGATATTTAGAGATTTTGGATATATATCATTCTTTAATCTTTATAATAATGTTGTAACATTTAATTAATTAATGTCAAAGTAATTTATTTTTTTAAATTATTCTCTATATAAATTAGCATCTAATTCGCATAACTATTCAGCATTAGGAAGTAGTAGCTCTATCTACTTTGTTTTCCAGTAATAAACTAATTCAAATACATTTAATATTTATTCCTTACTACAATTGCTAAAAAATATTTCAAGAAAATGATCAAAACAATATATTTACGGAAATTTTAAAATGGTTTATATTGCCATTTTGAATACTTATTATAAATTTTATACTTTTAAATAGCTGAAAAACTTATATATATAACCTATAGTTGTAAGATATACATCTTAAGATATTTAATCTAATCGATTTTCATATGTTAATTTATGTATTTCATCATTTAACAAGCAATTTAAAAGAAGAGAGAATAATTTTGTAGATTCACCTTACTGCTCTATCTATTAATTTTATTAAAATAACTTTCTTAAAACATCAAGAATTTGGATATTAAAATTTTATAAGTATGCTTAAATTAAAGAATGAGCAATTAAATCTTAATTAATAACCAATTACAATTAATCATTAGAGAAATTGTATAATAAATTAATTTATTATTCAAGTGGTAGATTTGAATCATATTCAGATATTTTTATAATATTCTCTTTCTCTTAATGAGTTCTTACAGAGGAAAAGATTGAATAAAGTATTTAAAAATTAGCAATATTTCTATTTTAATATTCTATCACCATTCTAAGAATAATTTCTAATTCTCCAGATAAAAAATTTTCTTTTTCTTTTTCTTTTTCTAATTCCAAAATAACATTAATTAAATTATCTTCCTTAATAAGTGTTTGAAATAATTAATATATTTTACGTTGTTTCTCATTACTTATATTTGATAGTAAATTATACATTTTTGCATTTTATTATGTATATTAATTCAAGTTCATGATATGCTATTTTTTATTTAAATTATGAAATCTTCCTGAAAATATAATTTCTTTTTCTAATTGTTTTTTTAAATCATATTATTTTTATTTAAACTATCTTAATTAATCATCTAATTTTCCATTAAGTTCATTATTCGAACTTTTTCTAAATTAGATATATTAATTAAGTAGTTTTAACTTTTCTAGTTGATTATCTCTAGCTAACCTCTTTCTAAAATATTCATCAAAATGAACTAAACAATAGAAGCACATCATATAAAAAATAATTTAAAGATCAAATGAAATTGGCAATAATTTGTCTATCAAATTCTCAATTTCTTCAAAATTTAATGTACTTTATTCATTTTTGTTCAATAATTTTTTAACTAAAAATTGTATATATTCATATAATTTAGATGGATCTGTCTTAAATTAAGATAATATTTCTTATAAAGATATTAATTATTTCTTGCCTTAATTTTAGTCTTTTAACTATTAATAATGATATTCAAATTAAATCCACATATTACATAGTATTTCTCCTAATATTTGATATATTCCTGTTTTTTCTTAATTGCTCAAATCCAATTCATCAGGTATAAAAAAAAAAAATATTAAATTTTTCAATATAATAGAGTTTAACTAAAATGTAGAATTTCTACATTAAATAATTAATTCTATAATTCTGAAGCTATGTTTCTAAAGTTTTTCAAATACAATTTTTTATGGTTATAAAGAAGTTGGCAATTGACAAACTGTTAAAAAGGTTTCTTTTTCTAAAAATTAATTAAGTCGATCCCAATCTTGATTTTATCTTACACTATACAAATTATCATATTATTCACATATGCTAATATTTTTCTATAATCCATAATCTGTCAATAGGTTTTTTAACCGACCAAAGTATCCATTTAAATTGTCCATTTATTTAATAAGGTAATTATTATGAGGAAATATTGAAATCAAATAT